TAAATCTCCGGTGTGCAATATAGGATTTCCCTTCTCTTTACACTGAGCTTCTGTTAGCTATTCTGTTAGCTGTTGGAATTTAGCCAATGAGGTGACATCTCTTAATAAGGCATCTGTTTCTCTATTAAAGAGAAAATAATTAGTGAAAAAAGAGCATCCATAAAGCATTTCAAATGAACTGAGGCCTAGGATTTGGGGGTGTGTTTTTTAGTTTGATAAGAGCTAATGATAGTGAGGCTACTGTAGGCAGGTTTCCTGAGCCATTTCGCAAAGATGTTTCTTTAGAGCCCCACTTATTTTCCCTAGTTTTCCTGATACTTGTGGCCTCCATGCACGGTGAAGGTGATCAAGAATGTCCAGTGCCTGAGGGACATTCTGTATGACTGTCGATTTAAAAGAAGGTCTATTATCACTTTGTAACCACCTTGTAATCACTTTGTAACCAGGAAGTTCAGATCTGGGGATGATTTCTGAGACCAAAATCTTTATCACCTTTTGTACCTTTTCTGTTCCATAAGGCAAGATCTTAACCCAGTTTGTGAAAGTATTTATCTAGACAAATAAGTACTGGAGCTCTGTATCCTTTGACATATGAGTAAAGCTGAACTTCCAGTCTTCTCCAGGGTATTTATCAAGTCTCTGTATACCGGGAGGGGCTATGATCTGTTAAAGAGAAATTTTCTTTTGGCAGAGCTCATATGTCTAAACTATCTGTTATATTGTCTGAGAAAGTCCTTTCCTATGAATAATTTTGAGGCCATCTGGTAGATTTGTCACTACCCAAGTGATGTAAAGTAATACTCCATTGACTGCACCAGGAAGGAGCAATTTATTATCATTTGATTGCAACAATTCTGATGGAAAGAATGGATTCTAATGAGAGAGAGCCATTGGATTTCTGACTGAGAATATTTGGGTCAAGTAAGATCAAGGGAACCTTCCCAGATCAGGGGGCCTGAAGAAGAAGCCCTTAAGCAGCTTCTTTTGCAGCTGTGTCAACCAGTTGATTACCTTGAGATATTTAATCAACTCCATTTTGGTGTCCTCTATGTGAATAATATCCACGTTGGAGGGTATATAGATAGATAATACTTATGGGAGATCCATTGACTGTTAGATAATTTCTTTTTTCCACATGGCTGTGTGGGCATGCAATACTAGAAGGCATACTTTTTAAAAAAAATTTTATTTTAGAGAATAAAATCAAGCAAAATAAAACGAAAAAGCCAATCGAAACAAGACAGTGTGACACGGGATTTCAAAACAAGATAATAGGAAATCAACAGTGGTTGACTCTTGTTGTTTTCAAAATAGTTGTCCATACCTTCAGACATACTAAAATCAAACAAAATAGAAACAGAATAGAACCAATAAAAATAAAGCAATGAATCCAATACAGGAATTCAAAACAAGATAATAGTAAATCCAAAATGGTTCCCATAATATATCTTATTATCTTTGCACTCTTTTTTTTTTTTTTGGTCTTTTTCTTTTTTATCAGTACCAGGGATCGAACTCACGACTGCCTGCTTGTAAGGCAGGCACTTATACCGCTGAGCTAAATCCCCAGCCCCATTTTGTTATCTTTGAAATAGCTATCCCTGTCATCAGATACAACAAAATCAAACAAGGTAAAACAGAATAAAATCTAACCAAACAAAACAGTGGGAATGATACAGGATTTCTAAACAAGATACCAGGGAATAAATGGCTACCACCTTCAGAAAGAGATCTCCCATTTATGCTACATTGCATATTGTTACTCTCTGAATAGCTGATCAGATTACTGGTTTTAGGCCTACAAAGTCAGTGAAATACTAAACACTACAAGCATTAAGTTGTATTTCACCATATTAGCTGTTATCACAAACTGTTTCTCTAGATTAGCTGGTCACTTACAGGGGCAGGGGAAATGTTGGGTCTTCTTGTCTCCCTGCCTGCATGCCCGAAGGGGCTGGCGTCTGGCTCTTCCTTAGTCAGCCTGTGCATGGTACCAATTCCCAAGAGGTCTTAGCTTCTTGTTGACTTCTTGTTCTCCTCCCCAAAGTCTGCAAATGGTGCCAACTCACAGGAGAGGGCTGACTAGAAAGCATACTTTCAAACAGTATAAATACTGACTTTTTGTTCTTCATTGAGTTGTAAAGCCCTAGTCAGAGCTGTAAGTTTTGCTAGCTGGATACTAGTCCCAGAGGCAAGTGAGAAACTTTCAAGTGTCTGATGTATAGTCACTACTGTGTACCCTGCCTTTCTTGTACCATTTTCGCCACAGTGTGAAATGTATATACAATGAGATCTTGCTTAAAGTCAGCTTGGATGTCTTTGGTACTAGGAGAGCTGGCAGCCGCAGCTCTGAGGCATGCAGGCTATCCCTTTCCTACATCATCTAGCTCATAACTCAGGCTGTTGAGCAGGTTTTTGGTCCCGTGTAAGAATTCCCAAAGTCATGTCCTGCCTTTCGTCAACATACAAATTGAAATGGCGTTCTGTTGGTATGTTCAATGCTGGGGTATTTAGAAGCTCCTGTTTAAGCTTCTGTAATGCAGTTTGGAAATCAGGTTCCAACGCTAAAATATGGGTATCTGCCTTTTGGGCTTCCTTTGTGAGCTGATAGAGGAGTCATGTGATCTTATCATACCCTGCTATCCAAAGATGACAAAAGCCTGTAATTCCTAGGAATCCCCTTAGTTGGGTTGCAGGAAGGAAAGTATTGGTTAAATTCTCTTTTCCCCCAGGCTTTGGGTTTCCTTAGATCTGATAAGGCCCAAGAATTTTACTTCAAAGCTGCAAGTTTTCACTTAGACCTAGAGACCATATAACTTCTTTATCTAGAGACCATATAACTTTTTTCAGTTAGAAAATTCAGTAAAGCATGGGTGCCTTGGCTGAGAGTTCCTCTGAGGGGCCCATAATAGTATATCATCTGTATATTGCAAGACCATGACTTGGGAAAATTCAAAACACGCAAAGTTGTTGGAGGAAAACACTTGTCCAAAAAGATGAGGCCTGTTTCTGAACAGTTGAGGAAGTGCAGTCCAAGTCAGTTGAGAAGCCTGGTTGTGAAAACTTTCAGATGCAAAATGTATAGTACAATCTTTGAGATATATCTGCACCACAGCAGCTATTATTCTTGCTATTTTACTTTTGCTGCCTGTACTTCAGGATTTATTTCTCTCCACAAGGGGGAGGCAGCGTACCTGACTTGAGTGTATGTATATTACAGTATGCAAGCAAGCTAAGATATCTCTCCCCAGGAGAGGAACTTCACTTTGAGGCATAATTAAAAAGGAATGAAGAGAAAGCCATCCCACTTATAGCCTAAGGGTTGTGAGGGAGTTACTTCCTCTCAGTGACTCCTTTCACTGAAGTATGACACCTGGAAAGAAAGGCAGGGTTGAAAAGGACAGAGAGACATACATCTGTTTGCACTATACTCACCATTACTCAGGGCTCCTCTGTGGTAATAACACTCTGGCTAGAAGGAGAAAGCAGAGCATGCCCCTGGGCCCTTCAGTCTTGCTGGACCAGCTGGTAAGATGGGCCTGATCTCTAGGGCCTTCACCTCAGGCAGCAGTCTGACTTCCAGTGGTCACTTTGTAGTCAAGGCATGGCTCAGGGAACCTCTTTATTCCACAGTTCTTATCATGGTCCCTGCTAAGGTGGCCTGGCTTTCCACAATGGTAACAGGTGAGGTTAGTCATTGAGCTCCTCTTAGAGCCCTGAGAATCAGACTTAAGGTCTGTTCCTTTTAAGGCCACAACCATGGCAGCCACTTTCTCTTGGTCTCTTTGTTTTCTCCTCTTGGCTTCCTCCTGGTCTTGATTATAAAATACTTAGGAAGAAATTCTTATTTGGGTGCCAAATGAGATGTTTGGAATAAGAGCCATCTTTTGTAGCTTTTTCCTAATATCTGAGGCTGACTGGGTAGCAAACTTGTCTTTAAGAATAACTTATCTGAGACCCTCTCCAAAAATGGGCATCTGAGAGGAACACACGTTTCTCAGATAAAGATATACAAATGGCAAATAAATACATGAAGAAATGTTCATTATCACTGGTCATTCAAGAAATGCAAATTAAAACAGCATTGAGATTTCATCTCGCTGCAGAATTGCTACCATTAAGAAATCAACTGGTAATGTTGGCGAGACTGTGGGGAAAAAGGAACACTGCTTCACTGTTGGTGGGAATATGGATTGGTGCAGCCACTGTGGAAATCAGTATGGACATTTCCTCAAAAAAACTCGGATTGGAAGTTTCATTCAATCTAGCTATTCCCCTTTTGGGTTTTTTTCCCAGAAAAACTGAAAAGGTCATGTCACAGTGCTACATGTGCACCCGTTGTTATAGCAGTGCAATTTGTAATAGCTAATCTTGGAAACAACCAAAATCCCCATTAACCTCAGAATGGATGAAAAAAGGTGGTGTTTTTATACAATGGAATATTACTCAGCTACCAAAAGGATGATCTTCAGGCTTTTACAGATAAATGGAGGCAACTTGAGACTATTCTCATAAGTGAAATAAATCCGACTCACATTTGTAAATATCATATCATCTCTCTAGTATAAAAATAATAATAAATAAAATAATAAAAAACTGAAAGTGTTAAGATCCAAAATGTATAACAGATATTATAAAGATGAAAGGGAAAGTGCTCTAAGTATATAACTGTATGTATGTTTAAGTGTGCAAGGTGGATAACCATACTACTAAGTTTTTGTTAGATCATCAAACAGGATAGTTTGCACTGTCATTGTTTGACTGTTCACTTTTTATGCTTTGATTTTGTAACTTGAACAACTACTTCTAAGATAACAATTTGTAATTTATCAGCTAGTGATGTTTTTTTAAAATTCTGTATTATTTCTACTGTTTTTTCTATTTTGCTTTTTTTCTCTAAAAACAAACAAACAAGCAAAAAACATAGCAGCCACCAGCTCTGGAGCAGGTCACCTCAGGAGACGACACAGCAACCAAGTAGGGATTAAAAGGACACCTATTGTTGTGGTAGTTTCTTTCTGGCACATTTAAGTTTTCAGATGGGTCTGACTTTACCACATACATTGTTAGGAGCGAACAAAAGCTTAAAGACTGAAATATCTCTCCTGAGTTTTTTTTGTAACAGATGTTGGCTCTCACAATCTATCTCATAAGTTTAAGTCTTGGAGCCCTGGGAAACCGAGGTGCCCCCCACCCCTGGGAGCCACTGTGAACATGGCAGACTCTGTTGGCCCAGGATGGGAGCCACCGATGTTTACTAGGACCCACGCCATGCTGGGACCTGGAGGGCTGGGAAACCAAGCAAACCCCACCACCACCACGGTGAGCGGCTGTGAGCCTGCCAGTACGAGGGCTAAGAATCAAGCATCGCGTCCTGCCCGCCCCCCCCCAGTCCCCCCGCCACACCCCGTAAGCAAGTGGGAGCCAGTGATCTGGACATCTCTTGAGAGGTTGACCATACACAGTGTAGCAAATAGGGGGAATTTCCTTCTACCATCTCTTTGAAGGCAAATACTTTTATCCCTGTTTTGCTTTGTTCTAATTAATGGTGTTATTTTAGCCTGTTTTGTTTTGTTGAACTTCAGTATACATGAAAGTATGGACAGCTATTTTGAAGAGAAGGAGAGATTCTACAGCAGCCTTTAGTGACTTCCCTATTGTCTGGTTTTGAAGACCAAAAATGCCTTCCTCATTCTATTCGGATCAGTTTTATACTATGTTGTTTTGTATGAATTTTCTGTATGCGAAGACATGGACAACTATTTAGAAGAAAATAAGAGACAATATGATAGATAGCAAAGATCTCAGGTCATCTAGTTTTGAAATTTATATCTCTTACATTGCTTTCTTATGTCCTATTTTGTTGTGTTTAATTTTACCCCCTTTAAAAAAAATAAAAAATTTTAAAAAGGATATCTATTTTTTTCTCTTATTGCAAATGAGAAACTGAATTGTCACATTCTCTTACTGTTTTGGGAATATATTCTTAAGCAGTGGAAATTGTTTAACCCTCACATGCTAAGAAAGAACTTCCTAATATTTTTTTGCTCCTGTGCAGGGCCTGCCTGCTCACTAGAGGCAAAATGGAATGCAGAGGGAAGTATTAATTATGATATTATTTCACAACTAGAATTATACTATAAGAAAGAGGAAAAATGGTCAGAACTATTGTGTTCAGACTTTCTTTGCATTAAGAGATAATCTTTATTTGTGATCAAAATGTAAATGTCACCATAGGAAAATCAGGCACCTCTGTCCCTTAAGACATAATCAGACGCATCTACTATCACTGAACCTCAGGTTCTCCCACACCTTGTCCTTTGGAACCTGAGGGCAAGGTTTTGAAGGCAACTTCAATCAAAGCTTTATCTATTATTACTGAACCTAAAGATGAGGTTTCCAAGGCAGGCTTGATCAAGGCCTCTTCCATTATTAACAAGCCTGAGGTTTCCCCCATTTGCCCTTCATCCTAAGGGTGAAGCCCCCTCTGGGCTATATCATCCTTAGCTGATCTTCAAGCCCCTTGACGACAGTATCCCTTACAGGAAGTAAATGGCAAATTTGACAATACCTGTGTTTATGTGTCCTTTTTTCTCCGTGACCTCAAATAGATCAAACAAAATCTAAGGAAGTTTTTAGACGACCCTGATAAGTACACTGAGATCATTAAGGGACTTCCTTAGACCCTATGAACTAGACTGGAAAGATTTGATATTACTCTGAAATCAAACATTGGTTTCTAATGAGAGACAAGCAGGATTACAACCTACTATTACACTTGGGAATGAATATCATGTTGTTAAGTTAAATGGAGAGGCAATCAGGGGAACAGCCAGTTCCTACTAGAACCCAACCAGTTCCTACCAACCAGACAGAAGACTGAAATAGGAAACATCTTCAGACAGGTATTCTTGAAGGTCTAAGGAAAACAAGAAGTAAGCTCTTTAGTTACTTTAAATTGTCAGCTATTCATCAGGAGAAAGATGAGAACCCTCTGCCTTCTTGGATCAGTTACAAAAGGCATTAATAAAACATACATCCCTAGTTCCTGGTTTGATAGAAGGACGTTATTCTCTTTTTTTAGAGAAAAAAAGCAAAACAGAAAAAATGGTACAATGCAGAATTTTTTTTAAAAAGTAAGAAATCACTAGTTGATAAATTACATATTGTCATCTTAGAAGTAGTTGTTCAAGTTACAAAATCAAAGCATAAAAAGTGAACAGTCAAACAATGACAGTGCAAACTATCCTGTTTGATGAACTAACAGAAACTTAGTAGTATGGTTATCTGCCTTACACAAAAACACACATACAGTTATATCCTTTAGACATTTGTTACCAGTTGATTTCTTAATGGCAGCCATTCTTTCCGGAGTGAGGTAAAATCTCAATATGTTTTAATTTGCATTTATTGAATGACCATGTATTTATTTGCTATTTGTATATCTTCATGTGCAAAATGTGTGTTCCTCTCAGATGCTCATTTTTGGAGAGGGTCTTTGAATTTGGGGGCCTTGATGTTTTGTAGTTCTTTATATGTTCAGGATATAAATCCTTTGTCTGAGGGACAGCTGGCTAAAATTCTTTCCTACTCAGTGAGTTTTTGTTTTACTTTATCAGTGATTTCTCTTGAAGTGCAAAAACTTTTTAATAAGATGAAATCCCAGTTGTTGATTCTTTGAAGTATTTCCTGTGCAGTTTGTGTTTTGTTCAAGGTGGCTGCTATTTGGAGAGTGACCAAAAGATAGATGATAGGTTGGGTTGGACTAGTCACCCTTACTCATGCCCCCTGCCTTCCCTGCAACTCACACTCCTGACTTCAGAATGTGTTTCCAAAAGCACAAGCTACAGTTGATTCTAGCTAGAACAGTCATGTTTAAAGAAGGAAGCATTGCTAGCAAAATTAAAGCAATAATCGTAAGGCCTGAACTACTGCTTTCCAATTTTTGAAAGAAATCAAGGAAAAAGAAATCAAAGGGAAAATTGGCAGTGGTTAGAGTACCTCTTAGCCTGGAAAAGAGATCACTTCTAGAGATAGATGGGCCATAGGGCAAAGAAGTCCTCAAGACCTTTGTGCTGTCTACCTACTCACGGGCAATCTTCCTTAGCAGCAAGACAAGGTTAAGTTTTACACAAATTCCATGCTAAAATTTCCATGTCTCTGTATCTGAAACACCCTTATGAAACTCACAGGTTAAAACTTATATTCATCATTCAGCAACTGCAATTTACACATACGAAAAATATTTCCTTCCTTTACACACATAAATGATGAGAACAACACTTAGGAGAGGAAAGAGCCAGGAGGATGGAATTCTCCCTTAATCTTAATGTGTTTTGGTCCTTTGACTGTTGTGCTTAGGAAATGTCTCCTTCTGGTCTTTCCCAGAAGTCAGGGCCTCAGGTTTAGCCTCCTGAAGGAGACTGTTACCCAGAACACTAAGCTGGGACATGGCTTTCATATGTGTTTTGCTGGAGAGACAAAATTCCTATGTCTCATCTGACTCAGAGACTGGGTATGTTTAGAATCAGACAAGGACGTCCTCCTAAATAGCCTGTGCTGGAGAGGGATTCACTTGAGAATGGAGCTCCCACACCTCCTCTAAGGGCAACCCTGCCTTGGGGGTTGCTCTAGATATAAAATAAAGGTGGAATGAAGGGTGAGTCAGACTGGTGGCATCAAATTCCTGCTCTACAACCACTAGCAATGACTTTGGGCAAAAAGTATTTATAGTTGCTGTGCCTCAGTTTTCTCATCTGTAAAATGGGGATACTAGCCACATGACAGGATTATTGTGAGCATAAATGTTTGCTTTTAAGGGGTTTTCACATTGCTTCAGCCATTCCTTTGTTTTCAAGTTTTGGTGCTAGAGTACGAAGTTTTGGATATCATCTCACAGATCTTTGAAGTTTCTGATTGCCCCCAGAGGCTCTGGGACCTATAGGAGTAAAGGGCTGAATCAAAATTAAGCTCACATCAGGTGTGGCAGTGTAGGTCTTGGAAGGCTGAGGTAAAAACTTGGAAGGCTGGTTACCATGAATTTGGGGACCAGGCTGGGCTGTATAGTAAGTTCAAGGCCAGCCTGAACTACAAACTGAGACCCTGTCTCAAGAAATGTTCTTGTAGTTCAGGATTTAAAACTGGTAGGATATTACACAATATTTCCACCTACATTGTTCACAACCAAGAGGTAGAAACAACCACAATGTCCATCAGTTAGCAAGTGGACTTTAAAATGCTATATACATTTTATGTGAAATGTTCTTTAAGAAGTCTTCAAGAAGAAATGAGATTCTGTTATATTCAACAACATGGGTGAATCTTGAAGAAATTATGTTGAATTGAAATAAACTAGACACAAAAGGAAAAGTGTGTGATTCCACTTTTGGGATCCTTTTATATTCTAGACCTAAGATGCCCCCCAAAGCCTCATGTGTTTAGAAGGTGATTGGATTATGGGGCACTTTAGCTGACTTGCTTTTAGGTGGAGGCAGGTCACTGTGGGCATGGCCTGGAAGGATCTATCTCTCTGTCTGCCTCCTCCCTTGACTCTGCTTCCTGTCCATCATGAAGTGAGCAGCTTTTCCTTAGCCATGTCCCTCTGCCATGCTGTTTCCTCTTTGGAATGAGTCAACCATGATCTGAAATGTGAGCCAAAATAAATCTCTCCTCCTGTAAGTTGTGGGTGTTGGTATTGTGTATGATGAGGAAAGTAACCAAGGCATCTTTTTAAAATTTGGAGACAGGGTTTCACTAAGCTGCCTTTGCTGGGTTTGAATTTGCTCCTGCTTTAGCCTCCCAAAGTATGGGGATTATAGGTGTACACCACCATGCCTAGCTCAGTGCCACTTCTATTAGGTACCTGGAAGAGTCAAATTCATAGAGACAGAAAGTAGAATATTGTTCTTTTCCTAAATTCAGTTTGAAGAAGGATAAAGAGTTTTAGTTTGAGGATGATGAAAAAGTTCTGGAGATGATAATGGGGATGGCTACACAGCATTACAGATATATGCAATACCATTGAGCTGAACATTTAAAACATGATTAAAATGGGACTGGGACAGTGATGGTGAACTTTTAGTGCTTTCAGTGATAACAAATAGCTGGCTGCAGCATGTGTGTCATAGGTTTGCACCACTGGAGTCAATCCCTGGTATTATTGAATAAATAAATAAATGTTGATGTTACTGAGGATTGAACCCCAGAGTCCTTGCATTGGACTACATATTCATCCCTTCTTATTTCTTGAGACAGGGTCTTTCTAAGTCCCAGGTGAGACTGAAAGTTGCAATCCTTTTGCCCTGAGTACTGGGATTACAGGCATGCACAAACATCCCTGGTTTAAGTCACATAGATTTTGCCATCAAGAAAAATCCACAAAAATCTGGGCATGGTGCTGTGAACTCATAGTCCCAGATACTCAGGAGGTGGAGGCAGGAGGTTTGCTTGAGCATAGAAGTTCTAGTCTATTCTGGGCAATATAGCAAGGTCCCCGTTTCAGAGAAACACACACATATACACTGTGGGCCAAGTGAGGACATTCCCAGGTTGGACTGCAAGAGAGGCCAGAGGGTGAGGCGTGCACACTGAGGTCTATATTAATGGATAGTGAGCATGGGATGTGGCTGTCTTGATGTCCTGGGGTGGGTGTGTTTGAGACACTGAAGAAAGAGGTCAAGTGTTTTGCAGTCCAGATAGTATTGCTGAAGCCAGCTTCCCTTGACTGAGTGTGGCTTCCCAAGCATAGCTCAGTAAAGGTCAGGTAGAAATGTTCAGTTCCTTCTAGGGCTCAAATTGAGACATCGTCCTCTAGCCACCAATTTTACAGATGGAGAAACTATGGTTCAAAGCAACATGCCTTTATTGAGACCTTTATGTACCACTATGTATGTAGGCTTTGAGGGACTCTGGAGAGAAGATCCCAAGGTGCCAAATACTTATTCTGTGTCACACATAACCTGCCGGAATAGGCATGAGGTTGAACAGGTAGCTGGCAACAGTGGCCAACCAGTAGTAGTCTCTGTGGACTTCCCATAAGAAGGGGCTGTAAGTAAATCTTAAAGGGTAGGAGGACTTGGAGAAGGGAGAGAAGGTTATCCTGGAGGTTTTGAGTACAGTGTAGTAACTAACAAGCTTGGCCTAACCTGATGTAGATCATGAAATATAGGGGTGTCATGGAAATGAGGCCGGACAAGATGGTGCAGAGCCCCCAGCCACAGGCAAAGAAGGCTCTGGTTGTGGCCAGGACACAGTCAGGAGCTTCTTTAGATCCTAGACTGGGCAAGGAGGACTCTCTATCCCAGATGTAGCCATGGCCAGCTTCTCCCAGGTCTGGTTGGTGGACAGACCCTCCCATTTTGCCATTCTCCAGATCAGAACTATTTCTGCTTTTTGGGTATCTGAGGCTGGTTGAGACTCCTCCAGAAGGCCATCTTCTTCTCCTTGAGCTTTATACCCACTCTTATGATAAAATCCAGCTGTAGATACTTTTCATCTTTGTCAAAGCGTGGCCAGTAGGGCAACTCTCCACCATTGGGGTTCCTGGCTCAGAGGAGGAAGGAGAGAGGATTCTTCTCACTTTTTTCTCTATGTCTTCTCACCCTTCCCTCCTTTGCCTTTGGAGTTTGGATACAAGAGGCTTTAGGGAAATTATATTGATAGTTATTTATTTAGTCTTTTTGAGACAGGGTCTTGCTCTGCAGTTTTGGCTGGTCTTGAACTCACTTTGTAGCCCAGGATGGCATCAAACTCACAGCAATTCCCCTGCCTCAGCCTCCTGAGTACTGGGATTATAGGTATGTACCACCATGCCTGGTTTATATTGATATTTAGATAGTTTTGGGGGGCAGTACTGTGTATTGGATATGGGGCCTTCACACCAAGCTACATTTCCAGCCCTTAAAAAATTTTTGGGACAGGGTCATGCTAAACTGATAAGGTGCCTGAGGTGGGTTTGGACTTGTGATCTTCCTGCCTCAGTCTTCCAGAGAACTAGGATTATAGGTCTGTGCCATCTCATCTGGCTTTAGGCAGTTCTTTAAGGAAGGCTGGGGGACTTCCATGCAGAGGGAATGTACGTACAGAGTTTAGAGGTATAGAAAATAAGGATTTTGGAGAAAGTACAAGTATAGAATCATATGAAAACAGTATGAGTGAAGAGGATGTTTGTGTGAAGGGGAGGACATAGGAGAGATCTTGAAGGAATTTTCATGCCAAACTGAGGAGCCGAGACTTTATCCTGGAAGCACTTGGGAGCCACAGAAGGTTTTAAGTAGGTGAGTGACTTGATGAAATGATATTTCAGAAAGATCCCTCTAGCATCATAGGAGGATAGAAGAGAGAAAGTGGACATGGAAAATAGTCAAGAGGCAGCCAAGGTTCAATTCAGATATTACCTCTGCCCGAATTCTCCTTTCCACGTGGGAGGGTCAGACACCACCTCAGTGCTTTCAAAATGCTCAGTGCTAGCTGGGAATGGAGGTACACACTTATAATCCCAGCATTCATGAGGCAGAGGCAGCACGATTGCTGCAAATTTGAGGCTAGTCTGGGCTACATAGTGAGCTCAAAGCCAGCCTAAATGTCATAGTAAACCTGTCTCAAAAACAAAATAAAACAAAACCCCCATAAAGTTCCCAGAGCTCCATCTCTCACTGGGCCTGATTGGAGTTTTTTTTTGAATATGTCAAGTGGTGGGAGGAGGAGGTGCACATCCATGACCTCTTTAAATTCCAGCTCCCAATGCTGGAACTTGGCACACAAGGGAGTATTGATGAGTGAATATTTTTTTCTTTTTGAGACTGGGTCTCGCTATGCAGTTCAGGCTACCCTTGAGCTTACTTTGTAGCCCAGGCTGGTCTCGAACTTGTAATTATTCCCTTGCCTCAGCCTCCAGAGTGCTGGAATTATAAGCATGCACCCCCGCACCCAACTTTTTTGTCTTTTTTTGTCTTTTTCCTTTTTATCGGTACAGGGGATCGAACTCACAACTGCCTGCTTGCAAGGCAGGCACTTATGCCGCTGAGCTAAATCCCCAGCCCCTTTTTTGTGTTTTTGAGATAAGGCTTTCTTATGCAGTTCAGGCTGGTCTCGACTCATTATGTGGCCCAGGCTGGCCTTGAACTTGCAGCTGTCCTCCTGTCTCAGCCTCCTGAGTGCTGGGATTACAAGCCTGTGCTGCCACACCCCACTTGGTGAGTGACTCTTGAACACTTGAGTGAATGAAGACTGTGGGTGATGGGACAGAGTGAGACACTTAGGATCTTGTGACTAAATAGGAGAGATGAGGGAAGGTACACTCTGGTGGGGCTGCCTGTGCTGCTCCTGTGGACATGCAGAGGCAGATACCTAGAGTATCGGCCTTCAGGTCTAGTGCTGCCCAGATGTGCTGGGGGACCAGACTCACCCTGTGCGGGCAAAGTTGGCCCAGTATTTCATCATCTGGAGGCTGAGTGTCTTCTCCTTAACTGTGGATGGGCCTGGGGACAGAATAAGATGTGGTGTTTAAGAGACAGAAAGGGGTGCTGACCTTCCAGATTTTCACATGCCAGCATCCCACACTAGGGACTGGCTTGCTCCCTGTGGCCGGCCAGTGGAGTGATGGGTCTGCATTCACAGGTTGGACAAGCAGTGAGGGTGTCAGGTGTGGTTTTAGCACCTTTGGAGAACGGTTTCCCCAAGATGAAGCCAATCTCATCTCCGTGGTCTGCCCCACTGTTCTGAGGTTTCATAATTATGCCTGAGGAAGCGTGATGCTGAAACTCGTACAGGTAGACTTGGAAGCCAGCATCTGCAAATAGAGAAACTGAAGAGAGTGGCAGGAAAAGTTCCAGTCTGGGCCTCCCATCACCCCATGCATCCTGCCCATTTGCATCAAGCAGAGAAAAAGAGCTTTAGCTTCAGAATCAAGGGAGTAGATTTGAATCCTGTCTGTATTACTCCTTAGCTTTTTAATCCTAGGAAAGTCACTCAACCTCTCTGAGTTCCTTGTCCATAGAGTGGGGATACTAAAACCTAATTCACACGATTATGATAAGAGTCTTCCTTTTCCTTCTCTAAATCTTCCTTTCTTGACCTTTGAGGGTCTTTGGTATCTACCTTCTCCAGCCATAGGTTTCCAAGCCCCAGCCAACCTATGTAAGACTATGTAAGGTTGTAAGACCTAAGCCTGTCTTACAACCTTAGCTTTCTTATCTGGGCTGGCTGAGGTTCTGCTCTTGTCCCTGAGAAACAGCATTTCCTCTCATGAGGTCAATGGTTGCCTCCTCTCTACATCTTAGAGCCCCACACCAGCTCAGAAATGCAGAGAGTGGATAGACAGTTGGTAAGCCCAGTTGGAAAGCAACAGAACTGGGGGATGGGGTAGAGAGGGCCAATGTGGCCATTCTTGGGCAACCTCCATACCCCGGTGGTAGTGAGCAGCTTGCAATGTGGTATACACAAAGATGGCATCTCCAACTAGCTCAATCACACGGTTCCAGACCATCTTCCAATCACACTTCTGAATGTCTTTCAGGTAGTTGTCGAGCACAAGTGGTATCTGCTCCTTGGTGATATTCTGGGTGGAGAGGCTACACTTACCTTGAGGCCTGCCATACCAGCTGGACCAGAGGTGAACACCAGGGACTTGGACCCAGGCTCAGTCCTCCAGGAGTTTTGAGAAATGAGGGGTTCTGGAGAAGACTTCCCTTGGATGATTCTTATCCCTGTTTTAGCTGCATAAGAACCATCTCCCCTGACCCTGAGGATGCCTGGGAACTTTTTCCATCAACTTCCATCTGATCTTATGCCAAACTCTTTTGGGAACCTCCAAGAAACAGTCCATCCCTGATTGAAGGCCCTTTGCAAAAGGCAACTATTAGGTTAAAAAAAGAGGTGTTCAAAGTGAGCACTCCTGCCCATTGGGCCCCTTACCAACAGGGTGCTGATGGTCCACAGGAGCTTGGTGAGGTTTTGTTTTCTCATAAAGTGTGAGTAAGGTGTGATCTTCATGATCTGCTCATGAAACAAGGACCCAGGTAGGAATTAGGCCTGAGATCTTGACCATCTGCATAGAAAATTCTCAAGCAGAGAACATGGCCCAAAAAGGTCTATAACCATGTCGAGTCCTTCAGTTTTCTATTCATCATTGTCACCTGGTCTGGAGCTAAAGTGGGGCTGGAAGGGTCCATCCTACACTGACCGAGGAGCAAAATAGGGCCCCACAGTTTATCATTGCCTGGAGACCCAGGGATGGACATTACAACCTATCTAAACTATGATCTGAGAATGAGACCCCCAAACCTCCAAGATGTCAACTTCCTCCCCTTCTCTTCTATAATTTCTTGCCAACTCTTTCTGTTCAGGGAATACAGGAGATTCCCGAGCATTTATGCATCCTCAGAGGGGCTCTGGGAGCTAATTTGGTACCTAGAACTACTCAAGAAGCAGCCTTTGCCACCCCACTATTATGAACATCTTTCCTACTCACATAAGGCAAGAGCCAACTGAACTCTTCACTGTTGACACCTAGAAGGTAGGGCATAGGCAAAACCTGCCCCCGTATCAGGAGCACCACAGGCTCATCCGGGAATAACACACCGTCCACCACAGGGCTTAGGAACCATATTATCTGCAAGGCCAGGGCATATCTAGTCATTTCACATATCCACACAGGGTCACCATGACCTAGGGTATATAGCTTAGCAGGTCATCCCCCAGGGACTATTCTAATCTAGGCTCTTTGGGAAAAAAACTGAGATTGGCCATGGTGACCCTTTGGAAAGTGGGTGTTGGAAGGGTCAGGACAGACAGGACTAGGGTATTCAGATTTGTGGTGCTTGCTTCAGGTATCCATATAGCTCACTTTTTCATCTCTTAAAAATCTTTGCAAAATGTCACTTCAATGAGGCCTGTCCTATCTTTTCACTTTTTTTTTTTTTTTAAATTTTTGAGACAGGATCTTTCTGAGTCCCAAAGTTGCCCAGGCTGTGCTTGAAATGACCCTCCTGTTTTAGCTTTGCAGAGTACTAGGATCATTAGGAATGCTATCACCTCCCATTTATCCATTCTATTTAGAATTCCATTCCTAAAAAAGAAAAAGAAAAGAAAGAAAAAAAATTCCATCCTTTGCATCATACTTGATCCCCTTATCATCTCCATTTGTTGCTATTCACGTATCCCTTTCTGAAGAGATTATTGATTGACTGGCTACTGTCTCTCCTCACTGGGATATCAGTTCTACTAGGGAAATTATCTTGGCTTGCACAATTTCCCAAGTATCCTGAGTGCCTGGCACGTAGTTGGGTTCCATCAATGCTCAAATCACAGAACGTGACCAGCTTACCTCTTGAGGGTCTTGCTGGAAGTTGAAGTGAAAAAATTTCTGTTGGGGAGTGGAGGGGGTCAGAATTAAAAGAAGTCTCCCTAGTATATTCCTCAGACAGGCTCCTTGGGGAAGACACTAGGATAACAGTACCCTGCAGGCAACTGGAATGTTCTACTTACCATTTTCCTAGACACACGCATCACCTGAGCCCCTGAAAGACCTCTCAGACAGTTTACCATGATCCTTGTGTCCATGTGGCTGCAGCCAGCCAGGGAAGCAACCTTCTGTAGAGAGAAGGGTGTTCAGGGATGTTCCCATCTTGTTCCCTCTTGTTTAGTTCTGAGGAAGGAGAGATACCCACCTTTGCCACCTTCAGTGGGTCACGAGTGATGAAACTTTTAAAGAATGCAGTGCCACTCTGGGAAATAGCCCTATGGAAGAGACCCTGGGCTAGGGGTGATATCATCTGTAGGGGAGGGGAGTAAGACACCCATGAGATGCATAAGTAAGACTGCTTTGCCTATCCCCTCTGCCTCAGCCTCCTAGAGTGCTGGGATTACAGGCATGCAGCTCTATGCTCATCTGTCTTTAATTTTTGTTGTTGTTCTGCCTCTATTTTGAAACCAGCTGCCATTACCTCCTCTGGGATAACTCCTGCTCCCTTGGCCCTACCATTCTCTCTGTTGGTCTCCAAATCTGTTACAGCTTCTTTCTAACTTGACCCCTGTCCCCCCGCAGGCTGAATACTTCTCTAAATGCACATCTGATTATAATACTTTCCTACTTAAAAGCTGCCCCTGCTCTCCAATGCACTTTGAATAAAGTTGCTCAATGTCTGTGGGCTTCAGTTCCTTCATCTATGCAATGGGAACAACAATACTTTTTGTGGGACTGTTGAGCGAATTAAATGAAGGAGTAGACATCAAGCGCATGTAAAAGCATGCCTGGCACCTAGGAAATGTGCATGTGTTGGAGTATTATCATTACTATGGCCTATAAGGCTATGTATAATGTGACCCCTGCTCATTTCTCAGCCCTATTCCTACATTGGGGATCTTTTAATCTACACTCCACGTACACCCTACATCAGCAGTCCTCCAAGAGTATCAAGGCCAAAGCCGGTTCTACAACACTGGTCCCTAACTCTCAGGCTTGGTGGTGGGGACAGAGCTCTAGGTGGAGAGTGGGGGAACACACGGGGAGTTCACTGAGTATCCCAAGTGTCAGCATCACCCCGTTGGGCCTTGGTTTTGTCACTAATGCTGTTCCTGAACAGAGCAGCCATCTTTGGTTGTGAAGAGTGGTGCTCTTGGCAGGATGAGGGCGGGTCTGTGGGCCAGCACGTTCCTGTACACTCGAACCTGAGCATCTGTGCAGTGACGAGGATACCGCTGTGGGAACATGCTGGCCTGTGTCTGCTGGCCCATCAGGGCCTCACACTCACCAGTCCTGAGATGCATATGGCCCCCGCAGACTGGCCAAACAGGGTCACGCTCTTCGGATCTCCTCCAAAGGCTTTAATGTTTTCCTGCACCCAGCGCAGAGCTGCCAGTTGGTCCAGCAGCGCCCAGTTCCCCTGGGCCTGACTGTCGCCAGTGCTACGTGCCGGGGATTTAAGGTTAGGGCCTCAAACTTCAAGAGTCGGGATGCAAAAGGCTCCCAAACCGTCCTGCACCCCCTTACCTTGACCTTCCGAGACTCAGTCCTGTAACCTTACCTTCTTTGGAGTTAGGCGCAACCCACTGAGAAAGTACCCAGCGGGCCCCCTCCCCCCATCCCCTCCGGCCTCTGCCACCGCCTTCTGCAGGCCGGGCTCCTGCACTGCCACCAGTCCGGGTCTCCTCCACCCCAGCCGCCGTGCAGATGAGGCCCCGCCCCTGGCTCCTGGCCCCGCCCACCTCAGGAAGCCCAGGATGCCGAGCCGGTACTGCAGAAACACCAGCACCACTTTTTCACGCGCGGCGAACTCGGAGCCTTCGTAAGTGGAGGCGGAGCCCACGAGGAAGGCGCCTCCCGGGAACCAGACCATCACCTGGGCGAGGAAGGCCGAGGCCTGAGCGGGGCGGAGCTGGACGAAGGGGAGGGGGAGACGGAGTACTCACCGGCAGCAGAGGATCCCCGGGCGCGCGCACTGGCGCGTACACGTTCAGATACAGGCAGTCCTCGCTGAAGCGCAGCTAGCTGTACAGTTTCCGCGTGTTGAAGTACATGGAAGCTAGCTGCCCCCAGGACTCCTGAAGGCACCTGTGGGCACCGTGTGACTTTGGACTCTGGCTCAGCGGTGGCAGTGGGGAGAATAATTTCAATCCCGAGTCCGCAATAGGGATAGAACCCAAGGAAACTCCAAGCAGTCCTTGCCCTTGCCTCATCTCCACAGGCCTCCACTAGTTTTGCGGTGCAGGATTCAGAGGCAGGTGGGCCTCCCTAGAATCCATCCCATTCAGATATCTATGGCTGTTTGCTTTCCACCTCCGAGCCTCTGTACCTTTGTTGTCTTTGCCAAACGCCTTTTGCCCAGCAAACTCCTAGTCCTGTTTGAGGCTAGCTGGAGTGGTGTCCTTGTGCTGGGCATGACCTCATTTTATGTCCCCATTTTATGTCCCCCAAGGCTTTGTCCACTCTTTACCATAGTACTGGTTAGAGTGATTTTATTTGGTTGTTTTCTCAAGCGGCAAAGCATACTTGTGAGCAGGTGTGGCGATGGATTCATTTGAGGCCTGGCACCCAGCCCAGTGCCCTGTATCCTGTAGATGTTTGGGGCATCTTTGGAGTATGGGCTGCATGCCACCTCACCATTTACCCCTGCTGGCCTGGCCCCTGAGTTAGCTTTTGTAAGGTGGGGCTGGACCCATTTGGCTGGGTGCAGAAAACCTGCCTGCCTTTCCCTGCTCTTCCTTTTCCTGGCCACATCACCAGGGCATTTCGGTCTGCTGCCTTTCTCAACAGCGCTGCAACCTGCCTTATCCAAAGCTTTCTGCTTCCACCCACCTTCCCCAACAGCTGTCTTTCTCTTCCCCTAGGCCAAGTTTTTATCCAGGATTCTTTTCCTCCACCCTGGCCTGGCCACTTCAAGGCCTCCAGGAGGCAGTGTATCTCTATTTCTAAACATTGTCTTTGGTCTTGCTTCATCACTTGGCAGGAACTTATGTTATTCTTAGGGTACTATCTGATAAACCACATCGGGCCTTCACTAGGGCTCTTATGGCCAAGAGTGAGCAGCTAAAGCAGAGGAATGGGGGAGAGAAGGTAAGGGGATGCAAAATGAGTTAACATGTGTTACATATATGTACCAACTCGTCACGATGAATTATGTACTGCAAATATGTACTAATAAAAAAGAATGAACAGCTGAGGCTTGTGTCCTTATTCTACCACAAAAGTCACTTGTTGCAGGTACCCAGTGATCTCTGTTCTGCTGGATTCCTGCTGCTTTCTCACTTAACCCTGGCAGCCCTAAATGTGATTGATCCTTCTTCTTCCTTTTTTATTTGAGACAGGGTCTATGTATTTCAGGCTGGCCTTGAACTCACTATGTAGCTCATGCTGGCTTCAAATTCACAGTGATCCTCCTGCCTCAGCCTTACAAGTGCTGGGATTTCAGGCATGTGCCATCACTCCCTCCCTTCTTGAAGAGCCACTGCCCTGGTTTTCCTGCCACATCTTTGGTAGCACTCCACCTAAGCATGATACTGTCTCAGTCTTCCTCAACCCTCAGTCCTCTTTCCTTTCTTAACATACTTTTAAAAATTGTTTTCCTTCAGGCCCTGAGTTTCACCCTATTGATGTGCTGTTGTCATTTTCATGAAGATGACAAGTTTGCCTGTGGCCTCCATCATCCAGACACCTGCTCCATATCTACACATGGATGTCAATCTATCAGGGCATCAAACCTGACATGCCCTAAATGAACTCTTGTTTTGCCCAAACTTGTTCTTGCCCCAGAGAGTTCCTGGGGCAACTGGGAGTTGTAGGTTTTTTTTTAAATAGTGGCTGACACTGACACTGAAGTTTCTCATAATAGACATTTTTCTAATCCAGTTGATGCCATTGTTAATGATTGCCAAAGAATGTTCTGGGCAGTGAATTACTCAATGATATGAATAAACAGTAAATACATTTGTTCTGGGTAAACTGCCAAGGCCAGTGTTTCAAAGGAAAGTCATTGCCCCAATCTTCCTGTGTGAATCAGGGACTGGAGTCTGATTGGAGGTGGCAGCAAGACCTTGGGACTTGAAAACTGAAACCGAACCTGTAAGTTCCCATCTTGGAGCTCCCTCTGAGGGAGGGCTGGCAATGCCATGTGAGTCTGTGTCTGGGCCCCAAGGGAGAACTCTAGGCCTGCTCAAGGGGCTGGGGAGTCACTGAGTGCTGCTTCTCAGCTGTATTTAGGAAATCCAGTGCCCCAGAAGTTCCCAGGGAACAGTTAGTGAACAGTCTACCTTAACTGGAGTTCTCCTGTGCAAAGTCACATGATCAGTATCAGTGAATTCAGTACCATTTGGACAAACCACCTCATTATACAGGTATGGGAACTGAAGCCCAAAGGACCTCATGCCTGCCTATGTTCACACAGTATGTTTATCTCAGTGCATTGTTCAAAGCCCTACCCAGAAGTAAGCATTGGTCCTCAGGGTCTGCCCACTTCCCAATCTTTTGGCTCTTACGCAGGGGGGTAGGTGGTGGCACGTCTCACTCCTTTCCAGTGCTCTGGGGGCTCAGGTGGAGCAAATCTGAGGGCACCCACGGGAGGTTTGGAGAAGGGAATTCCTAGGAAGGCATGGAGGAGTGTTTTCCCCATGTGCACCTGCTTTCCCTGGAGGCTTCCATATTTAGTTACCACCAGAGGCTCCTGGTCATGCACAGCACCTGGGAGAGAAGGAAAAATGGTCATTCTGACTCAATGGCTCTGAGCCACAGATGGGTCTCTGGGCGATCCGCTGCAGGAGCTGCTGTTGCTTTTCACAACAATCAAAAAGCTTGCGGGCTATCATGGTGCAAATCTGTAATCCATATACTCAAGAGGCTGAAGCAGGAAGATCACTGAGTCTGAGGCCAGTCAGGACTACATAGTAAATTTTAGGCCAGTCTGGACCTACATAGCAAGACCTTGTCTCAAAAAACAAAACAAAACACTGGGAATGCAGTGCCATAAGAAGGCCCTGGGTTTGATCCTCTCAGTATGCAAAACAAATAAATAGATAAAAGCACATGTCTGTTATATGAACTGTTTCTGTCACTTTATATCAATAAATATGTCGTTGGTCTTGACTTCTGTTTGATATTAGTATGGCTCTATTTCTTAACATTTTTGTTTTCTTGTTTTTTCTTCTTTTTCCTTTCCTTTCTAATGGCATTGGGGCTTGAACCCAAGCCACTCACACTGAGGGACATTCCAAGCCCTTTTTTAATTTTAAATTTTGAGACAGGGTCTCATTAAGTCCCTAAATTGTCCAGGCTGGGCTCAATTCCCCTGCTTTGCCTTTCCAAAATGGTGGGTTTATAGCACATAACACTAGCTTTTTCTTTGGTTTGTTTTTGTTTTTTGAGACAAATCTTGTTATGTAGTCTGGGTTAGCCTTGAACTTGCAATCCTTCTGTTTCCGTCTCCTGAGTGCTGGGATAACAAGTGTGCACCACCATACTGGGCCTGGTTTATTTCTGGGAAGGAATCACATGTACATACACAATCTTACTTGTTTTTTGAGATAGTATCTCACTACGTAATTCATGCTGGCCTTGAAATCATTGTATAGCCCAGGATGGCCTCAAGCTCATGGTGATCCTCCAGCCTCAGCCTCCCAAATGCTAGAATTACATGTATGCTTCAACCACTATATTCTCACTTGCATACACATTTGTATCAGTAGTCATCTATATGTACAACTTTGTCATATTTGTACATAAGAAGTAGTATATGACAACAACTCACCTACAAAGAATCATGCAGAGCTGGATATGTTGGCACTTGCCTGTAAACCTAGAACTATGGGAAGCTGAGGTGGGAGGATCACAAGTTTGAACTCAGCCTGGGCAATTTAGCCAGACCCCATTTCAAAAAAGCAGAGAGGGCTTGGTATTGCTCATTGTTAAGACCCTGAGTCCATTGCCCACTAACATACACATACACACACACGCACACACACACACGCACACACACACACTCAAGGAAAAAGTAAAGAAAGGAAAACAAGTGTGGTGGTGCACACCTGTGATCCCTGGGGTGGAGGACTGAGGCAGGAGGATTGTTAAGAGTTTCGAGGCCAGCCAGCCTGGGCTACACAGTGAGTTCAAAACCAGTGACATAGTGACACCCTGTCTCAGAACTCCAGAAAACCAGAACCCAAAACCCAAAAACCAACAAGACAAAAAAAGAAAGATGCAGAAATACAAGAGTAAAAATACATGAATGGATACACACACACACACACACACACACACACACACACTGTTTATGTATAGTCTGTCCACAGCATACATTCACCTATTATACACATAGTAAAGGCATACACACATCATAGTCAGATCTGGAAATAGTTATGAAATAGGCCAAGTTGAGAGCCAGGCATGTTGGCACGCTTGGGAGGCTGAGGTAGGAGGATCACTGTGAATTCAAGGCCAGCCTAACCATATAACAAGACTAGCTCAAAAATAAGTTGAATTCAGCCCTCTGTCTACTGATACTTGTTTTATTCTAAGTGGTCATCTTGTCCTACTCTGACTGGCAAGTGTTAGTGGGGACTCATGTCCATGTCCTTGAAGAACCCTTATCTGATTTTTCCCCTTCCTTCTCAAACAGAATTGTTCTGTCTGTACACCTGTCTCTCAGAGTTCATGGTACAAAGTGACAGAAATCAAATGTGATCCAGATAATTATTGTTCCTGGCTACGCATCAGAATCATTTGGGGATCACCATGAAAATACCGATTCCAAGGCCCTATCCTACTCTGAACGAAAATCTCTGAATTTTATCAGGGAAGTAGATTTGCAAAGTTCTCCAGGAGATTTTGCTGCAGTCACTTTGGGAACAGCATTTGACACTGATGTGACAGAGCATACTCACACGCTCCTAGTTGCAAGTGGCCCAAAATACTTCCTGATCATGCCCCCAGGTCTTACATAGGCCACACATGACACAAAAGAGTGACTATAATTGGTGCTTGGGCCTGTGGGCAGGTTAGCAGGGCAAGGGACATTCTCATACTTCCTCTGTGTGTACAGCTCTTGTCTTGCACTGGGAGAGCAGAAGGAGGCCCGAGGTCTCTCAGCAGGAAGCCACTGACCAACCTGTGGTCACTTCATGATGAGAAAAGCCAACACCTGTCATTTCTGGACCTTTTGTTATAGCCCAACACTGTGTTATCTCACCCCATTTTCCCTGAAACTGGATAGGGCAAATGGTACTACACAGATATGGAAACAGCTCAAATGAATAGGGATCATTTGGAGATATCCCTTATCCAAGCTCTGCTCTGAGCCATGGGT